ATTGGGACTCAACGAATGCTGAGTTGTCATGACTATGGAAATGCTGAAAAGACCTAACTGGGTGAAACATCATGAGAGGAAGAGAGGAATCTTCATCCTGAAGATCCTCACCCAAGACCACCATGAGCCACTGCGCAGGCGCAACAGAGAGGGACTTGGGGCCGGGATTTATGTTAATGATTTCTCAAAACTAATTGTAATATCTCTCCCTATTCTCGAATTATAATGCATATGTAAACGCTTTACACCATAGAAAGGAGCTGCTTTTTGTTCCAAGGTGTGCACGCTTCCGGAGGAGCAATCCCCCGTGCAGCCAGCGCTGCAATAAAGAATGCCTGCTTTCTAATACTCTGAATCTTAGAGAGTTCTTCCTTGACCGGCTTTTCGGTATCAGGTGCACCTGCCACACAATCCACCCCATGACTACAGTCATGATTCGGCTGGTTTCCTTCAAGTGGTGGTGCAGTCACCTCTTGCCTCCAAGGTTAAAAGGGAGTGCGGTCCCGGTGAGTCTCTATACTCGTGGACTGTCATTCTTAGATGATTATACAATCAAATCTTAAAAAACCCCCTCCAACCAGACAATGTATTACAATCAAAACTGAAGGAAGCTGATCGACCATTCTAACAACGAAGATTCAAACATACCCAGTTAACTAATTAGTACTTAATAGAGCAACAATCAGCTCAAGTCTGTTGCCACTTTCTTCAATGTTGGCCTAAAGTGGCATTAACACAAAAGCACCAAGATCAATCACTTTCTTCTGAATGATGCCAGTTTCACAGGATTCATTTGCCACCGTGCTGTCGTCCAAGTCTTGGTTGTCCATATGGGTCCCCATTGCCAATCAGGATGCCAGAGTCACCTGCTCTGCCAAGATCCTAACAAAACCAGAACTAGGCCTTGGATCAGAAGCCGGGCATCAAGTTAAAAATTAGCAATTATCCACTGGGCACTAATACGGTGAGTTTTTCCACCTTTCCCTAAGGCTTCCCAAGCATGTCGACAACGCCCATTAGCCTGAGAATAGTACGGGGTGTGCAAACCCACTGTATTCCTTGTGTGCCCACTCCTGGATCACCCTGGCAGTAAAGCGGCTCCCGTTCCCTGATTAAATTGTTTTGGGTGTTTCCTTCGCTATCTGCCGTGTGTGGCAACAATGATCCAACTGCACATAGCGCTTCCCTGCAGTTTCTCACTGCCAGACTGCGACAGGAGGGGTGGGGGGTTGGGGGGTGTTCCAGAGATCTTCACCCCTCCTGCGGGCATGGTTTTAGCGAGCTTTGAGCAAGTGCATCGCAAGCAATTGCCTGCGAGTGCCGCCTTCCCACGTCGGAGCAAAGCGATCTCTCTTTGCTCCCGACAGAGGCCCCACAGAGAGCCCGTCCCAGACCCGGGCAGCGCCCTCCTGCAGGGCTGCGCCCAGCCCAGCCAGGCCCTGCAGCCGACAAAAGGCCCGGATGGGCATTCAGCCGCCCATAGTCGGCTGCTAATTGCCAGCTTTTGTTTGGTTTGCCGGCTGGCCGCATCGGAGAACTGTAAGGGGAATGTGTAAGATTTATCACCTTTTTTCAGTATCATTCATCACCTCAAAAAGGCCCTGTCTGGCAGCAGCTGGCAATGCATATTGAGAGACACAGGTACCTTCTCTCCCCCTAACTGCAAAACTCCACACTGCATCTGGTAAACACCACTGTTGACCTGCCAGAACATCAAACCCCAGTATTTTTCCTTTGTTCTCCAGTTCTGCCCTCAGGGCGGAGTTTCAGCAACCAGATCCTGCAACACTTCTGCCGGCGTTAACACCTGCACGGGAAGGGCGGGGGGGGGCCGGTCCGCTGGTTGCAATCAATAGCTGTTTGCACCCTTTCTCTTAAGGGACTGGACATTTATCTTTAGGGCAGGCGGGAGCCCTCTAATAACAGCTCTAGGAAAGTGGCTGGGATCCATCCACCTGCGCAGCAAGCGCTATCCCTGTACCGCCCCCTCTCACCCATCGCCTGAATGCCAGCCTCCTTTTGTACTCCCTCCGCCAGCTCCGACAGTCCCTTCACCTTAATGGGAACAGGTTCCCCCCTCTCCTTAGGGTCCACCCCCCCTGCCCAGTAAGCCACTCGAGGTGTTACCGACTGGTTACCGCTGGTCCATCACTTAAAAACACTCCCGGAGCCCAGAATACGTTAATAAGTATTTAATTAATTTCATAAAGAATACTTTATACTTAAATACTTAATAATTACACAAATACTGCGTTTCAGTGTCACCCGGCTTACACGAATATTTAACCTGAAGTTCGCTAAGCTCAGGTCCTGTCCAGGGGGTTCTACAGACCGTGGTTCAGGGGCTCCCACCTTGTGGACCTCTTTGCCTTTCTGTTTCCATGAGAGACGGCACATTTGTTTCCCCCAATTCCTCTATTTCCTCCAAGCCACTTTCATCAGACTCTCCCCAAATACCTCCGTGCCACCCCTCAAGATCTACACTTGTAATTAACTTTAGAATCTGAACCACACTAGGAGGCTTTTTTGCTTGTGCCAACATAATTTCCGTATTTTATTTTCTAATAACCGCCTTCAGTATCTTTCTGGTAACACTTCTGTCTTCAGATAATCAATTTCCCACTGCTCCTCTAAGGTATCTTTCTCCACTGCTATGAAATAATCCTGTGCTTGAATCAAGCAGGCACCTAAAATGGCGCACGGCCGCGTACTAAATCAGCAGCTTCGGCTCGGGGCCTGTTGTTCAGGCCTCAGTACTGCAACACCTCAGCACTTTTTACGTCAGCAGAGGTGGTTTGTTACAACCTAGCACAACACCTACTAGCACAATGGTTATGGGTCATAAAATATACAGGATTCATCCCTAGGTCAGCTCTGGCTTGGGCCTGTTGTCCAGGCCTAGCACTTCAACCGCTGCAGCAGTCCAACATTGAGAACGATTCCCAACTGTATCTGTATTACAATATCTATCCCAAAGCTGTGACCTGTCTTTTGACTTCTGTACCACGTTTTCGTACAGTCGGCGTGCATGCATTTGTACTCTTTCGTGGCGGTGCCAACTCCACCACATTTACCGGAAAGGAACTTTCTGGTTCTGTCATGGGAAGGCACGATGTCTGAGGCGATGTCTGAGGTCCCCCCCATCCCGTTTCCTACTACATAGACCCCTGCTGTTTGCTCCTTTGGCATCCATTCACCCAAGCCAGATAACAGCACTCAAGCAGCACTGCTAAACACACGGGGACACGAATTTCATCGGAGACTTATTCTGTCCGGAACTCTCTGACGAGATTTTCTCGTTCTGCACTACATGCCCTGGGTCTGCGCAATCTGCTTTCTGAGCAAACTATGCTGAGCTGAAAAGAAACCAAGAGGGAGCCTCACAGAAGGAGCTATTTCTGTGTGACTTGTGAAGGCAGGTCTGGAGGTGGCTGCTGTCACAGCTCAGTGGACCCTTCCTGCACTGAGGATTGCAAGAAGGCACTGTCTGTGATGGCCCTTCTGCCAGGAAGCGTGCCCTTAGCTCAGCAGCACGGCCTCAACTCAAAAAACCATCTCCCGCATAGCAGCATAGTTTGTATGTAAGTGTTGTCTATGCGGAAGCTTTGTCTGATTCGATTCTTTTGATAACCTTTCCCATGTTATTGTGGCTCTTAATGAAAACTGCTTTTTCTTTCTTTAATTCTAAAGTAATGGGGAAAATACGTTTTTTGGAGAGCAAGTAGGCATAACAATAATGACAGGGTCTGTGTGAAATGATGTTTTTCATATCAAATTTTTAATGTTTCAGAACCCCACTTATGACATACGGAAGTCCACGTGCCCTGACCGGATGTGCTCATGGGTGCCAAGGAAGCTGGCTGGTGTCATTGTGAAGCCACTCTCAATAATCTTTGCTCAGTCCTGGTGACTGAGAGAAGTGCCCAAAGACGGAAGGAAAGAAAAGGTCACTCTCATCTTCAAGGGCAGCAAGAAGGAGGACCCAGGGAACTACAGGCCAATCAGCCTCATCTCCACCCCTGGGAAGGGGATGGAGCAGCTAGCCCTGGAAACCATTTCCAGGCACAGGACAGACAAGAAAAGCATCAGGAGTAGTCAGAATGGCTCCAACAAGGGGAAGTCACGCTTGACGACTTGATAAACTTCTACAGCAAGGGAGGAGATACGTGCGCTCTACTCAGCCCTAGTGAGGGGAGTATGGTGTCCAGTTCTGGGCTCCTCACTACAAGGCAGACATGCACATACAAGGACCACTAAGCTGATTAAGGGACTGGAACGTCTCACATGAGGAAAGGCTGAGAGAGCTAGGACTGGTCAGCCTGGAGAAGAGAAAGCTCATGGGAAATCTCATCAGTGTCCAGAAATACCCGGAGGGAGGCCCCACAGCATCATTCAGTGATGTGCAGTGACAGGACGAGGGGCAATGGGCACAAACTGTAACACGGGAAGTTCCCTCTGAGCATCAGGAAACATGTTTTGACAGTGAGGGTGACAGCACTGGCACCACTTGCCTGGGAAGGCTGGGGCATCTCCATGCTGGCAGATACTCAAAAGCTGGCTGGACGTTGTCCTGGAACACCGTTGCTAGGTAACCGTGCTCAAGCAGAGGGCCTGGACAAACTGGCTGGACCTTGTCCTGGAACACCGTTGCTAGGTAACCCTGCCCAAACAGAGGGCCTGGACAGGACCTTAGCCACTTTGTGGTTCTGTGCAGGGGGTGAGCAGCCGTCTCCAGCACGGTGAGACGGGGCCCTCGATTTTCGCCACACTGCAGGAAATTCAGGCCGCCTTTTTGTCAGAGGAAAGCGCCAGGCAGGAGCAGCCGAGGCCCCTGCCCCGGGGCGCCCTGTCACTGCCCCTGTTGGGGCACAGCCCCCTCTCCCCAGGGCCCCTGGGAGCCTTCCTCCTCCTCATCCGCGTCCTCGCCCAGGGCTCGACAGAATCCACCAGGTACCTCCTGCTGCCGGTCGCTCCCAGCGGTGCTGTGCCCACACTGCAGCATGTACCGCAGCGTGCACCACAGCTTGGAGAGTGTCTTGGGACTCTTCAGCAAGATGCAGCAGGAGTCGCCCTCCGGCAGCACTTTGCGGCAGCCCTGCGCCAGCGCCACCAGTGCCTATGAGCTCCAGGAGAAGGACCTGGGCAAGCTGCACCGCATGGCTGCCCGTGGTGACCTGGCCTGGCTGAGGCGGTGGCGCTGGTGGCTGAAGAGAGTTGGCTTCGACAAGCAAGACAAGGAGAATCGGTGAGGGCTGTGGGCTGCTGATGGGATGCCTTGGCTGCTTCTGGCAGGGGTTGCTACGGGAGGTTCTGAGCTACGCTCTGCTAGTCCTTGGCAGCTCTCTCTCAAGCACAAGGAGTGTGTTAAAACGCAGAGCCTACTGATCCCACGGGAGCATCAGCATGGCGCAAACAACCCCCTCCCTCCCCCGGCAGCTTTTGGGTGCCACGTGGAAGCGTCCCCCCTTAAGGCTTTGTGCGGGATCCCATCCAAGCTCATGGCTTGCAAAGTGAGCTTTGCCCTGTCCACTGGGAGGGTGCACACCAGAGCTTTTTCATTGCTTGTAGCTGCCGGGTCAGCTCGAGTGCTGTTGGAAGTGCGTGCCACCGACCTGCTGCTGGGTCATGGTCTCTCTGCAGGGTGGTTTTGCAGCTGTTCAGGTATCAGCAGTTCTCTTCTGCCCTGTGGGTGGTCACTGCAGGACTGCAGCAGCAGCAAGCGGGAGGAGCAGAGCCTGGGCAGAGGGTCCCCAGGGCTGGGTGGCGGCACAGCTCTGGTTCTTTCATTGTCTAGTTTAAGCTTGTGTTTAATTTTTAGGACACCTCTGCATCTCGCTTGTGCAAACGGCCATGCAGATGTCGTCAGATTCCTAGTGCAAGAGAACTGCCAGCTGAACCTTGTTGACAATTTCGGGAGATCGCCACTGATGAAGGTATGTGGAATATGTTATGCTCTTGAAAGCAGGGCTTATCGACTGTCCAGTCAGTGAGAGGTGTCTGGCAGGATACTTTGCACGGACCTGTGTAGAAACAGGCATGTTGTAATCGACGTGGAATAGGCAAATGCTTGCTAGTCTTTGAAGATGCTCTTCTTTGCCAGCATTCAGAAGCTGGGTGAGTTGTGGCAGAGTGAAACGTAAATGTTGGCAATCATTCCCCTTTTGTGTGTTGCTCCCAGACAGCAGAGTGCCAGCAAGAAGAGTGTGCGGCTATTCTACTAGAACATGGTGCCGACCCAAATCTGGCAGACGCTGACGGCAACACTGCCCTTCACCTGGCTGTCCTGGCTGCTAATGCAGCTGTAGCAGTGCTGCTACTTGAGCATCATGCCAATGCTGATGCTCAGAACCAGGTAACCTTGGCGTTTGGGTAAAGCTGCTCTTTCGAGAAGGTGCTGAACTTGGCAGTGTTTTTTTCTGACCAAGGTTCTTTCTCCTTTCAGGAGGGATATACCCCCCTTCATCTTGCTGTCTCCAAACACCGGGAGAAGGTGGAAAGGCTTTGTCAGAAAAAAGGAGCTGATGGGCATGCTCAAGAGCAGCGTGAAAGGTGAGGGCTTTCTCAAAACAGCACATAGGTCTCCCTAGTTGTCTGCAAGTGTGACTGAAGAGAGGCATGTGAATGAGTTTTGAAAAATAGGGAGCCAGCAGAGCTGAAGTACTTCACAGATACCAATATGCATGTAGAGAATGAACGTGCCTGCAGCAAGTATTTCCCCGTGTAATAGCAGTGCACAAGTACCGAAACACAAGGGGTGTGTGGGGGTGGGGGGGTGTGTTACCATTTCTCAGTTGGCATCGAAAATGGAGAGGCTGGGAAAGGAATGGCTGTTGCTGTCCTAGTCAAGCGTTTATGCAAAGATGTGGTTGTTTTTACCAACTCTATTTCCTCTCTTTGTGTATATATCTTCAGCAAGCTACTGCTGGAAACAGTGGATGGCAAAACCACGGAAGAATCTTCTGCAGGTGGTGCAGAAGAAAAGTCAGTTCTCAGCAGCCCCTGCCCTGTGAAGACTGCTGACCCTACCTGGGCTGCCCTTGCTCAGGACAGAGGAGGTAGGATCCTTAACTGTGGAAGAGACAATGAGGAGAATTGCAATGGCCTGTAGTAGAACCCTTCCCCATCTTTTGGATGCTGGGCTTGGATGATGGGAAATAGCACAGTGAGGTAAACACTCACAGTGTGTCGCTTCTCCCCTCTTTTGTAGGTGCCATGCCAGCGGGAGGGCCAGAGCGAGAGGGAGATGAAGAATCGTCTGGGGATTTTGAGGTCCTTTCTGTGAGAGATGCAGTGGGGTCCCCCTTGGTTCACTCCCCTTTGGGCTTATTTGCCTATGGGCTTGTTGACCTCTTCTGCTGCTCCCGCCACACATTTGTCACTGGCGGCCCTTGAAATACTTGTGCTCTAGGCCACTTTTTCATTTAGGACTGGGACCAAGGCAGGTCAAGCTAATGACCTGGGTCTCACAGCGACTGGCCTCTGAGCTTCATTTCCCATATAGTACAGAAGCAGTGAAGTTGCCCCTGCTTCCCCTGTAGCCTGGAGGTGCTCAGCTGAGAAAGATGGACAGGGCTCGTCAGTTTTGCAGGTGCCTGCTAGTGACGGGCAACATTTCTGTTCTTTGAATTCACTTGGAATGACCTAACTATGTAACCTGAGAAGTAAAAGCACACCTCATATTCTCATGTCCTTATCAAATTCTTTGCGCTCACATATCAACATTTCTTTAGGACTGGGTCGCACGGCAGCAGCAGGAGCTTCCTGATACTCTTGAACATCAATCAGTGTCAGAAGGTTCCCTGGAAGTTACTACAGAGTGCTACAGTGGCCTGGAGGAAGACAACCTGCGCTTGCAGAAGGAATTGGACAGAGTTAAAGCTGAGGTATGTAAAGCCTGTCACTATAGGAATAAACCTGTGGGTGACTGTTTCTTCCTGTACATCGTCAAAAAGGACAAAAGAGTATTCTGAGAGCCAGTAGCAAAGAGGTCTAAGGAAGTTAACAAGGATTACCTGACATCGTTCATGCAGCCAGTGAAACCTTCAGGCCGGTGGCCTCGTCTTCCCCTTCCAGTGTGCAAGATAGTGTTACCTGAACCATCAAAAAAGCCAGCTGGCTTCTGTGGCAAGTAGGAGACAGTCTTGCTCCTCAAGCCCACAGCAGAAGCTCTTGTTCAGGCTCTGGGGTAGTATTGCAGCAATGTCCCTTCTCTTCCCTTCTTCCTCAACTCCCCTGGTGATAAACACAGCTGGCACTTCGGGGAACTGCTCACAAGCTGGAGAGGCAAGGCGGTGTGTTAAGAGCAGCCTTCTGGTGGCTAGGTATGAACAGAGA